AAATTAATCACAGAACTGAGAGAGGAGCTAAACTAAACGGCTCCACAAACCTCTCAGTACTATTTACGATACAAGGGATTTTTACGTATTAACCAACACACTATAGAGGTGCACTAAAAATAATAGTTTTGAGAATATTTATTCCAAAATGTCACAGTCTTCCAATACATACTAAATCATGTAAAAGGGAAGATATATAATATACAATATAGTGCAGATCAGATGTGATAAAAATCATTTCAAGTAGCTTAAAAACTCCAGATAACTGTATATTATATCAATAAAGATAATGGTGCCAATAACACACTATAATAAAGATGTATCTGTAAAGGATACTAAAAACAACGTTAGAATGTAATAGCATTGTAAATAAATATATCTGTAAAGGGTGCGTAAATCGTAGTGGAATATGATCGCAGATAAAGCATATAGCATAAAACAATACAGAGCATTAAAAAAAATAAACCAAATGGGCAGAGCACGGGCTAGGAGGGAATGGTGCAACTGTGCCAAATGTAAAGTTGCTGTATCCACATGGCTAATTAGCATGAACTCTGCCTCCTCTTCATCATCTTGCGTCCAATTCGACCGAGACGCGTTTCCTCACGTGGTTTATATAGCTCTGATTCTTAATTAATAATTAGTGGAGAGTAAGTATAGCAGGTGGGGATTCCTACAATACAGTGAGATGTAAAAAAAGAATCATGATATAAAAAAATTAAGGTCCAAAGCAGTGTAATGTAAGAAAATATAAAGTCTAAAACAATTATAGCAAAAAACCAAGGAGAGGTGTGATGCTGCCCTAAGAGCATAAGTGCGATCTTTATGGAGCCAATTTATATAGGCTCCACCACGTGTGAGTGATTTGAGCACTTAGGGGTTATACTCCGCAATTACAATTACCATCTGCACTATATATTGTCTCTTTTTGTTTTTTATGTATTGGATACATCCCCTAGTATATTTTTTTTGTATACATGGGGTAAGTTACCCCTATTGTTATTACACTATAGGGCTCCACTATAGGTGTAATTTTTTTTTCTTATACCACCAAAAGGTGTATACCACCTCTCCACTGACTGGTAATTCTTTCTATAACCATACATTTTGGGCAAATACGGTAACTATTGTGGTGTTGCTGGAAAACTACTTATCAATGTTTCTAACATGTTCCTCTATTCAGACATGCAATGGCCTGGAAGACGGGTCCACATATATTATAGGACATGAACAGGATAGGACATTTACTACATTAGTAGATTGGCAAGTGATGTTGTTTCATCATGACTTTCCGTTGACTATAAACTCTGTATTTTGTATGAATCTCAACGATTGTTCTTCAGGTTTATATAAACTTCAAAGGACACAGGCCATTATAAAGTACCAGGTTAATCTTGCCGTATAACCCCTATTCCTAAATCATACTTTTATATTAGGATGCAGTTAGACTCCTGCCATGTCTTCTATCATAACATCTAAACGTAGCTGAATCTTCATCAGGAAGATCTAGATGCAGGGATCCCAAATTCTGGCTCGTACAACTCCCAGAATTCTTTGAATGTAATAGATGGCCAGAGAATCATGGGAGTTGTAGTTCAGGCATGTCAAATGCTGGCTGTCCAGATGATGTTGAATATAAACCACGGGGTAATTTGTCTTATGTTATTGCCAAACTTTGGCAAAAGGCAGGGTTTTCACTGATATTATCCATCTGTCACAAAGACTGAAGGGAACAAGCGTCAACTCATGGGATATGCAATAGATGCCTTTGGCACTTTAATGCACATGCACAAGCTTTTCTACAAAAATCAATAAATTGCGGGACCCTTCACAGTTCCTATTTTGTACTCACACCTGCAGGAATACAATATTGACGATGAGTACTGAAAAATGAAGTTGACAAGAGTCAAAAAAATATGGCGGCAAGAAGGTGGTAGTGCGAAGATGGTCAAATTAAAGGACCACTATAGGCACCCAGACCACCTCAGCTCAATGAAGAGGTCTGGGTCCAGGTCCATCTAGGGTTAACCCTGAAGCTGTAAACATAGCAGTTTCACAGTGAGAAGATGCTTGCGTCCATAGGAAAAAGCGCATTTGTCAGAAGAGGGAGAAAGGTAAGTGTTTAACCCCTTCCTTCCCCTAGAGCCCGGCGGGAGGGGAGCCCTGAAGTTTGTTTTCCTGGCACTATAGTGGTCCTTTAAGGTAAGCATATCAACCTAAGGTGGTATGTCTCTTTCTCGACCACCTCCATGCCAGTGGACTTTTCTTCTTGAAGGGCCTTTGTGGATTACGTGAAAGCATATATAACATTCTTAATTTCTTTAAAAAAAAAAAAAAACTTGTATCAGAATATGTAAAGGGATATATACCCTTAGCTACATTAAATTCATATGCCCAACTTCGGTTGTAATTATTTCCCATTTAATACCAAATGGTTAACAATAATAATACGTTATAAAAGAAACTAAATTAAAATGAAAAATGTAAAACAAACTTTTTTTTTTTATTTTACATATGAATGTATTTAATCACAAATGCAGAGATATTTCTAAATTGTATATTATATCACCTTGACAACAGAATTCAAACCTTGATTAATACTCTATACTTTCTAGGTGAAAATAGGGCCAAAAAGATTAATAAAAATATAAAATGTGAAGTGACAGTGCCATTCTAATACATTGTTAGGGGTTTCTATTAATTTGTCCATCCCATGTCCTCTACTGAACTCAGTTACAGTATTTTGCTGGCAGACAGGTCACTATTCAGGGTAATACTGTGTACACATAGCTGTTCTAAATTAGACCCGACTGTCACATTTACAGACTGAGATGGAAATAAAATGTTTTTCTATTTATTCTACTGGGGTAGACAGACAGCCTAAAATAAAGAGAATTGTATTAGATTTACCGCAATAGAAACCGTATTAAATGTTTGGTGCTAAAACTACAAATAGCGCCAGAGCAGACGGAGCCGACGTGTCAGATGTATAAAATGGAACAGTGAGTCCAAGTTCTAAAAGTGAAGTAGTTACCATAGAAACCACTTGATATTTCATACTAATGGCACCAATTATCTATCAGGACAGGTTAATGTGACTCTTCATTCTAGGATTTGGTCATCATGCAGCTGCCTCCTGTGTGTGATTAACTCCTCAAGGACCACGGACGTTCTAGGTACGTCCGACAAAAACGGTCCGTAAGGTCCACGGATGTACCTAGTACGTCCGCGGCAAATATATTACTTACCCGATCGCTACCGTTCCCCCACTGGCGATCGGTGTTGCTCCCGGTCTGAGGGGACTGCCTGACAACCCACCTCGGCAAATTAGGCCCCCATGGGCCATGTGATCGCTCTAAAAGAGCGATCACGTGGCGGCAATAGGCGTCCATAGTGCTGCCTGCAGGGGGACTGCCTAAACTGACAGGCAGTCTTCCTGCATCTGTAAAATAAAATAAAAAATTGTTAATAAATCAAAATCTAATTATATATATATACATATATATATATATATAATATATATATATATATATATATTATATATATCTATGTAAAATATATATCTATATATCATGTCATACTAAGTGTATTTTTATATTAATATATACTTATATATAAAAATACACTTAGAATTAAACTATACACGTATATATATATATATATAATATATATAATAACTATATGTATTGTTTATATATTATAAAATATAAATAAGTAAATAAAAATAAAAAAATGTAAAAATAATTCAAAAAATATAAAAAAATTATATACATGCAATTTTATTCTCACTGTATTTTGATATATATATATATATAAATATATATATATATAAATAAAAATAATATGATATTTATATCCATATACATAATTACATAAATAATTTCATAAATATACACATAGACTTCAAATATATAAAAATGTATATATATTTAAATTCTACATGCATATTTATGTAATATTTTTACATAATTAGGTAATTTTATTGCAATTTGAGGGACCTGCCTGCCAACCCAGGCCGAATGTCCAGATAATTTAATTTGCTAGCACTGTGTTTAACCCTGTAACTTTCCATGACACTCTAAAACCTGTACATGGGGGGTACTGTTTTACTAGGGAGACTTCGCTGAACACAAATATTAGTGTTTCAAAACAGTGAAATGTATTAAAAGATGATAGTCAGTGAAAGTGAAGTTTTTTGCATTTTTCACACACAAACGGCACTTTCACTGATGATATCATTGTTGTGATACGTTTTACTGTGTTCAGCAAAGTCTGCAGCCTTTACAAGCTCTCCCCTTCTAACCCTGCTCATACTTTCTGTGGCTGTCCAATCACTTCCTAATGCAACTTAATGAAAAGTCTTTGCAAGGCAGGTGCTCTGGGCAATTGCTGCCTCTTGAGTTCTTCTCCACTGAACTAACCAAACCAGGAAGTAGCAGAATGGTGATCTGATTGACAGTCAGGGAGGGGGTGTGTTACATGTTTAATTTATAAAAGTGCCAATTTCTATTAAATCTGTACATTTTGTAAAAGGATAAAAAAGCATACATATACTTCATACAGAAAGCACCTCAGCACACTTAAGTGCTTTAGGGGTCTGTAGTGTCACTTAAAAAATTTGTGTTCAACATTAAACTATGGTTACAAGTGAATGCAGCATGTTACCTTCCCACCAACCGTAAGAGGTAGCCCAAAAAGTCACTACTGACCATCATCAGATGAAAACTACTCACAATTTTATTCTTATCACACTACTGGGGCCAAAGCAAGGGAAGTTAGAAAGTCCTTGTATTGGACATTTAAAAGGCTTAAGTCATGATCAAACTTTGCACCTCGCTAGATTGTAAGCACATTTGGGCAGGGCCTTATCACCTAGATGAACTAATATCATATGATGATGACTGCCAAGCACAGTATACTTTCCACGTTTAACCCCTTAAGGACACATGATATGTGTGACATGTCATGACTCCCTTTTATTCCAGACGTTTGGTCCTTAAGGGGTTAAAGCCACAGCAGCTGAACTTTCTAACCGCATAGTGTTAGCTATCTCAGCTTATGGTGTCAGTTTTTACCAGTTCCGCTTTTCAGAATAATATGAATAAAACAATAACACAAAGCATAATGAAGTATAAGGAATAATAATTTACTTATTCACTCAAAAAGCCACCCTGGGGGATGTCTCACGTGAGATATTGTATCAGGGTTATTTACTAACGTGAGATTTGGGAGGAAGTGAATTTCATATATTTTGACCAAAATAGCTGAACTGAAAGCATAATCAGCACTGCGGAATTAGTTGGCACTTTTACAGAATATTAATAGTAATAAAAAAATTAATAATAATAATAATAGCTGGCTTTGCAATTTTTTCCAGTTTAGCTATTTTCGGACATGTATTTGAAATCTGTGTAATATTTTGGGGAGTAAATAAAACATCTTTGCACATATCTATAAAGTTACATGGTAAAATTAAAGAGCTGTGGAATCGGGGACATATCTCCTAGCAGGCTGTCTAGGTCTGGCCCTAAGCCGGTAGTGGAGGAGGAGCAGGAGGATTCCAGAAGGATTTTTATCTTTTACAGCCTGCTAGGAGATATGTCCCTGATTCCACAGCTCTTTAATTTTACCATGTAACTTTATAGATATGTGCAAAGATGTTTTATTTATTATTTTTTATTTATAAAAAATGGTGCCACTAGTGAGATTTTGTCAATAGCGTCAGCGGATACTGAGATGTGGTGTGACTGTCATCTAAGTGGGAGCAGGAAGGTGTCTGTGAGTGGACCATAACTATGGACCACAATAGTTCAAACCTCCATTCGTCACCCCAGGAAGATGAATTAATAATCCCAATCTATTCATTCAACTTTAACAAAAACGATTTTCTGAAAACACTACAACAGACTAAATAACATCAACATACGCACATATTATTCCATACACACTGCACGACGCAGTAACAGGTGGTTAATTCGAAGCACCCTTGGATATTTTCCCTCTGTAATGGCACAAGTGATGGAGACAAACGTAAGAGATACTCGAGTGCATCCAGCATCCCTTAGTGGAAACTATTAAACTCAGTCTGTTTTCGGTTAGTCTTGTCTCACGTGGGGCGAGTACTTTGGGGGATTGTTGTCACTAAGGGCTGGTTTCTATTTTAAGAAATAAACCAACAGTATTTTGTCAATGAGAGGCTGGCTATTCAAACCCCAGGATCTTTTATTAACTTGTAGCCTGCTATACGAGTGACGTGTATACCTTGACGTGGATCCCTTGTTCAGTGGATCACGAGGGATATCACCGGCTAAAACGTCTTTCTTCATGACATCAATGGTTTGGTGAAAAGATACAACACGTTGGGGAGCAATCCATTGGTGAATTATATAGAATTTATTAATAACGATAAAATATCAATAAAAAAAGCAATAATAACAACCATATATATGTTATTCTACATTTTAAATATAGAGAAAAATAACTGTGCTCCATGTGTATTTCAACATATCTACAATCACTTAATAAGAGAAAATCTATATATGTAAAAATAAACAAAAGATTGTCCTTTTTAAACAATATGTTTTAAAAAAAATTAGAATTTAAATGTCCACTTTTAAGCAGAGTCCTCAGAGTTGCTTCCTAACAGCAGTTTCTTCTCGTTGCTCCGGCTTGTTACAAAAAGCAGTGTACGTCTACAAGGTAAGCGCAAAGAGACATTTCGTTATAAAGGAAGGTACGTGCTACAATGTATGTCCATAAGGCATTGCAGACAGAGACTTATAAGGGTATCTACTAAGTTGAGAATTCAAAACAAAAAAAAAGTAAAAAAATATATATACTATATTTGTTAAACTTAAGGCCAGAGTAGCCAAACTGAAAGCAGATTTAGACTTGGCCAATCTGGAAACATTCTCTAAGTCAGCTATTTTGACTTTCAATTCACGTTGAATTCTCATTTATGTGAATTAACGTGTCAGTTAGAAAATGCAGTATATGTCTACAAGGTAAGTGAAAGAAATGCACATGTGGAACTGGTAAAATGGGTTATCAGGGTATCTGGGCCCATCTCTGCTGGGCTTCCAGGGAGCAGCATGAAGTCGGCCGTAGGGTTTACCATTTAAAGCAGAGGTCTCTAAGTACTGTTCTGCAGCCGGCAGCCTCCCGTTCTGGTTTGGAATAGACAGATATTTTACATTCCCCGCACACATCTCAATGTCTCGAATTGCAGGTGGCTTGAACCCCACCATATGTTTGAGACTGGCAGGCCGGGAGCATATAATATTATGGTGATCTGCAAATTCAGTGACGAGGATGGTCAGTGCACATGGTGCAGAGAAGCAGCCTTCACCGAAAGCTCAATCGTGTAACAGGTGCTGGGAGTCGGTGGTGGGCGGTGTACATCCTACGTGATTATGTAATTCTGTGTGTGTGCTGGAAGCATGCATCTGTGTGCAGGTCTAGAGGTATGGATCAGTGTGCAGGCACACAACCACAAATATACATCTACGTGCAGGCGTGTGCCTGGGAGTATAGACTTGTGTGCAGGCATGTATCTGGGAGGATGTATTTGTGTCCAGACATGCATCTTGGTTTCTGATCTATGTATGCGTGTACATCTTTGCAGCCCCCGTGTGGAATAGGGTTTGGCCAGTGGCCCCTAGGTAAGATAAATTGGAAACTCTAATGCTTTGGAGTTAGTAGAAACCAAAGGAGGGGTTCACAGGGCTAGGTTATGTCCTGATAATTGGCATTTTAGTTTGTGATCAGTACAGATTGCAAAACGACAGGTCAGTTACAATTAGAAATCCCTCCCGGCACAGGTCTACCAAAAGGCAGATCTGAAGCCCAGTGCACACACACAACACTTAGCTATGAATCAGACCTGTGCAGACAGACTTTGCAGTAATAGGTATAATAGGTGCAGGACAGACAGAGAGGTCTTTCTTTAAACCTGACGTGTTAATTTCATGCATGAGATTCTCTAAAAGGACATTGTGAAGGTACACGAATAGAGTCACTCACAGTCACAGGTTGCTCCCTCGGGTGTAGATCTCTATCCTCACTTGGAATAGGGTTCTAGGTAACGATGGTGTTCTCTCACTAGCGTTCCTTTCCGTCGGTGACATTGATGGGCTGGCAAGTCACTGACTTTCTTCAGGGCATGAAATTTCCAGGCCTGGGCAATCTGACTCTCCTGCACAAAAGAATGAATAATTACATGGGGAATCGTTTAATGCTAAACAGAAACAGTATGTAAGAGGTTACATGTATCGGACCGGTATAAGCTCATCCTGGAGGTTCTCGTTTTCCAGCGTTGTCAGCTCTTCAAGGGAGAGAAGGAAGAGGCGGAGCTCCTTCACCACATCCACAGCAATTCGAGGGACGGGCAAGTCGAGAACAACCTGAGAAAGCAGTAAAGCTGCTGTTACGAGGATATCTAGGTTGGGGGTCTCTGTATCAGGGGGTCTCACGGATAACCTTGGCACCCCAGAAACTTGTAAACTACATTTTATCATGATGCACAATGACTATGTGAGGAGTTAAAACTGACAAACATCTGCGGAGCTCATATTATTCAATACGATCCAAACCCTATCTTGATCTGACTAGTGTTATATAGGTCAAAGAGTGGCCCAGTTTTCCAAATACCCAAGGAGGCAAATAGTCTGAATATCACTGCTCAGATTTCCATGTTCTGTTTAAATTTTCCCCTGGCCAGGCAGAGGTTGGATGCAGCAAGTTAGGCCAATGTACTTTTAAGAAGTATACATAAATACCTGGGAGCGATCTTTCTTGGCTTCTGTATAATTGTGTGCGAACCCATCAGACACTGAATTCACCAAGCCGGCATGGTGAAGACTCCTTGCACACTTAAATCACTATACACAACACACTCTAGTGATGTGCATTAGTTTAGAACTCAAGGTGTCAGAGAAAACCTCAGTATTGGTTTAGTGGCAGAGAATGGGATTTAACAGGAAATGCTGATATTCATTGTACTCTGTGAATAAAAGGTTACTATAAGGAGAGCTTGTCGTCTTACTAGTGATAACCCAGTTAGAGTAAACCATTACCAGGAAATATTCACTGAGACTTGCTTCATTTTCAGGAATGATTTATAAAACAAACAGTTCTACTAGCAGAATTGCCCTTGATACAGAACCCCTCAGTGCCACGTGTGGGTCTTGCACACTCACTGAGCTCACGTGGGCCCACTCCCGCACAGCATGGATCAGTGGCACCTCATCAATAGTCAGACGGTTACTCTGCAATATGCTGAGAAGTCCCAGGTCTGAGAGCTCCCGGAAACTCTGTGTCTTAATGATTTCCTGCAAGAAAAAGACAGGATTAGCTTTTAAAGGAAGTGATCCCATATGGAAACACTCAACCCATGTGAAGCACATGTTGCCTACCGGCTTCCCCAGCATTCTACATGAACTCTCTGTATTCTACAAAACTATCCCATGGGAAATTCTGGGAACAGTAAACCAATGTCATACAGCGGGGTGAGGCTCAAACAAATGACGCTTTATATTACAGGAATTTATAAGTCTTCGTCTAGGTGTGGATTCATTTAGCTCTGCTCCTTGAAAATGAGAACTTTATAAGCGGTGATTATAGTGTCTGCATTCACATGCTCTCACTTTGACAATAAAGGAATAACACGTATGGTTATGTTTCCCAGCTCATAAAGGTATTTACAGCAATATAACCTCTCGACAGATACATTCCATTGTGCTTTCATAATGATGCATTGTGTAAAGTATAAAAATAATTACACTGATTAGCCACAACATTCAAACCACCAGCTTAGTATTGTGTAGGTCCCAAGGGTGGTCCAGGGGGCCCAAGCAAATGCTTGCCAGGGTCCAATCAATAATAAAGACGGTTCTGCTGTCGTGGCATTGTCAGCATGTATGTATCCTGTATGCACAACAAAAATAAAGATTATAAAAAACATATTGTGTATGTCCCTCTTGTGCTGCCAAAACCGCTCTGATGCATTGAGGCATGGACTCCATAAGACCTCTGAATGTATCCTTTGATATCTGTCACCAAGACATTAGTAGCAAATCCTTTAAAGCGACACTGTCATGGCGAACTTACCTTTCCTCAATCTCTTCCTCTTCTCCCCCTCTCTCAGGATCTGTTATTCTTTTCTTCCTGTCTTCTTTAGTTTTCTTTAAAATCATAAGACAAAGTAGGGACTCTTTGCCTTATGGAGGATTCCTCCGCTTGACCAGCTCTGACCAGCGGAGGAGCAAAGTGTGCTTCATTTCCGTTGGTCAGAGCAATTTTCCCATGATCCTTACCTTTCCTCTGTGTTCCCACAATGCTTCCTGTCACTTTACACAAAACTGCCGAATTGCGTTCTAACTGAATGAGAACAGTATGTTCGTTTCTTTTAGAACGCAATTCGGCACTTTATTCGGATCGGAATTTCATTCTAATGAATGAAACTCTGATCCTATTCATTGCTGTGGCTGCATTTTTCAGCCGCTTAGTAGATAACTCCTTAATTCCCACGGTATCAGGGAGCTATCTACTAAAAGGCTGAAAGAACTAAATTGGTCTAACAGCCAACTTTACTAATACTAAGTAAAAATTACTTAGTATTAGTAAATAATATGCCCCTACTCGCTATATCGCGAGTAGGGGCATGTGTAGTAAGCAGTGAGCAGCTTATAGCTGCTCACTGTAAAAAAAAACAAAAAAAACTAATAACCCCCCTGCCCGTGGGGGCCCTAAATAAAGATGGGGGGGACCTACTGTCCTCCCCCCTGGCCCCCACCCCTGAGTGGTGGGTGGGGGCCCTAATAAAACAATAAGGGGGGGGGGACCTACTTTCCTCCCCCCCTGGCCCCCACCCCTGAGCCACCCAATCAGCAGAGTGCTCTGTGTCATTTTACACAGCGTGGGAAAGTTCTTTTGAATTTTCCCACGCTGTGTAAAATGACACAGAGCACTCTGATTGGCTTTAACCCACCAATCAGAGTGTTTTAAGCCTAATTGCAGGGCGGGGAAAGGCTTTATAAGCCTTGACCCGCCCTGCGGAGCTCAGTTCGCGGCGTGCCCTGGAAGGGCGAACATGGATACATTTTTTTTTTTTTTTAAAGTGCGACGGGTATGATGGATTTTTATTTGGCGTTTTTGGGGGCTGAAGAAAGAAGATTTTAGAAAAAAGAAGACGTCAAATGGTAAGTTTAATTTTTTTTTTTTTACAGGTTAGTTATTTTATTCCCCCCCTCACTATTTGTAGGGTGAGGGGGGTAGGTAGGGGATAGGTTTTTTTGGGTGGGGGGGGTCGTGACTAGGGGCTTGGGACCCCTAGTCACCTTGATTGGAGGGGGGGGGGGTTTCATTTAGGGCCCCCACCCACCGCTCAGGGGTGGGGGCCGGGGGGGAGGACAGTAGGTCCCCCCCTTATTTTTTTATAAGGGCCCCCACCCACCGCGCAGGGGTGGGGGCAGGACAGTAGGTCCCCCCCCTTATTGTTTTATTAGGGCCCCCACCCACCGTGCAGAGGTGGGGGCCGGGGGGGAGGACAGTAGGTCCCCCCCCTTATTGTTTTATAAGGGCCCCCACCCACCGCTCAGGGGTGGGGTCCCGGGGGGGAGGACAGTAGGTTCCCCCCCCCTTATTGTTTTATTAGGGCCCCCACCCACCGCTCAGGGGTAGGGGCTGGGGGGGAGGACAGTAGGTCCCCCCCCTCATTATCTTCATGGCCCCCACCCGCCGCTCAGGGTGGGGGAAGGACAATAGGTCCGCCCCCCCTTATTGTAATTTATGTAATTTTTTTTCAACAGTGAGCAGCCACAGGCTGCTCACTGTTTAGTAGACATGCCCCTACTCGCGGTATAGCAAGTAGGGGCATTTGGGAGATTTTAATCTCCCTTGTGCTATTATGGGGGTCATATTGACCCCCATAGAGTGAGAGGGGGACCTGGGGGGGCTTATGAAGTGGAGGGGAGCACTACTCCCTGCCGCTTCTATACTTACATATTATAAGGAGGGAGCTGCGTGCCGGTAGCTCCCTCCTTGTAATAACCTGCACGAACAAACATACACTGATACATAGTGTTTGTTTGTTCGGCTGATATTTCTATTCACTCATTCGTCTGTCTGATGAATGAATAAATAGATGAAATTCCCGTTCGCATGTCCAGGTGTTTCACTGGGCATGTGCGGGAATCTCACAGTCTGTCTAGTGTGGGCTGATGACGTGTCCCACAGGGACTTCACCTACCCACACAAAGATGGCGGTGCCCTGAATATAGATCGGGGCAGAAAATAAAGATTTAAAAAGAGGTAACCTGGGGGTGACTAGTGGGTCAATTGGATGTAGTGGAGGCGGGTTAAAAAAAAAAAACGGGATTCGGCATGACAGTGCCGCTTTAAGTCCTGCACGTTGCAAGGTGTAATACTTATTTTGTAATATTTCTTTAATTGGAACTCAACTGCAGCATTTCTTGGTTGCAACAACAATAAGGTTCACCTCCTTTTATATTGGTATGAAACTATGGTCACTGTACCTTTAAATATCCATGTAGGTAAAATTAGGCTTTGTAGCAATCCCTTATGAGTAAGAGGAATAATTAGACAAAGTGACACTTTAGTGAGTTTTAGATACTGTGTAATATAAATAATAGTAATTGACTTGTTTGGTAAAAGTATTACTTAACTTAAAGGCAGTTCTGGCACTGGAAGGGTTAATTCACCCAATGAAGGAGAAATTAGAAGTCCGTTTCAACAAGCTGAGAACTAGGAGTGGAGAGTGGGGAAGTCCGTTTTAACAAGCCGAGGTCTGGGAGTGGAGAAGGTAGAATTCAGAGTTACAAGCCGAGGTCTAGGAGTGGAGAAGGTAGAAATCCGTTTACAAGCCGAGGTCGAGAAGTGGAGAAGGTAGAAATCCGTTTACTAGCCGAGGTATAGAAGTGGAGCAGGTAGGATCAGAAGTAGAGCAGCTGATCTTCATGCAGCACCTGTGCGAATAATCCAGCCCTTTGAATCTGGCGCGGTCCTCCTAAGTATCGTGGAGGGACTGCGTCAGAGAAAGGGGCGGGGCTGAGCGCCGTGAACCCGGAAGTGGGTTCCGGCGATAAATTACATGCCATGCTATACCTGACAGTACCCCCTTCCCATGGGGCATCCTCTGGGTGCACTATTTCGGTTTGGAGGGATAGCGTTTGTGAAAGGCAGTAACTAACCTTCTAGCATGTACATTAGATGAATCTTCCCAAGTGTCTTCATCAACTCCATAACCTTTCCATCTGATAAGGTATTGTAAGGAGCCACGGTGGACACGAGAATCCAAAATTTTGTGAATTTCATATTCTTCTTCACCTTGGACAATGATAGGTTCAGGAGTTGTTACTATTTCCCTATAAAAAGGATCAGGGATGTGTGGTTTAAGTAGGAGACATGGAATACTGGATGAAGTTTAAAACTTGGAGGAAGTTTTAGTTTAACAACGTTATCATTAATGATAGTAATTACTTGAAAGGGACCAAGAAAAAGAGAGCTCAATTTCTTTGAAGGACGGCTTGTGGTAATATTCCTTGAAGAGAGCCAGACAAGATCCCCTACCTTATAAGGAGGGGGAATTCTTCTATTATTGTCAAAAAACTTTTTCTGGTTATTTTGGGCGAGTTGAAGATTCTCCCGTAATTTGAAAAATAGAGAAGACATAAATTCATTTTTTGATGTAACAGTAGGATTGGATGAAGTAATGGTTTGGATGGGGAATGAAGACGGATGAAAACCATAGTTGGAGAAGAAAGGAGTCATTTTCGTACTAGAATGAATGGTATTATTGTAAGAAAATTCGGCCATAGGTAACCATGTGGTCCAGTCATCTTGGAGGTATGAACAATAACATCGAAGATATTGTTCCAAACATTGATTAACCCTTTCTGTTTGCCCATTAGTTTGGGGATGATAAGCGGAAGAGAGTTTGCGTTGAATTTGAAGGGAGAGACACATCTCTTTCCAGAATTTGGAGGTAAATTGTGTCCCCCTATCAGAAATAATTTCTTCAGGAAGACCATGAAGTTTCACAATATTGTCAATAAAGACCTTAGACAATTCTACAGAGGAGGGTAATTTTTTTAAAGAAATGAAATGGGACATTTTTGTGAAGCGATCCACAACGACAAGAATAGTGGTGAAATGTTGAGAAGGTGGAAGATCAACGATAAAATCCATAGAAATGGATTGCCAAGGTTTTTCTGGAATAGGTAAGTTAAGTAGTAATCCAAAAGGTTGATTATGTTCTGGTTTAGACCTTTGACAGATAGGACATGTTTTGACATATAATTCAATGGTTCTATCCTGGCGAGGCCACCAATAATATCGTGAAGTTAGTTCAAGTGTTTTCTTTATTCCAGGATGTCCAGCTAGGGGGGAATCATGAACCATCTTAAGTAATTTATTCCTAAGAATGGGAGGAATATAAATTCTATTTTTAAAATAAAATAGACCATCCTTTTTGTTAGTATAGGTGTTTTGGGAAGTTCAAGATCCTTCTGATTCAAATTCTTTATGTCATCATGAAGAGAAGAGAGGATTCCTATTATTTTGGTAGAAGGATAATCATCAGTAGTAGTTTTAGAAGGAATTCGAGAAAGAGCGTCAGCCTTTTTATTTCTATTTCCAGGTCTGTATATTAATTGGAAGTTGAATCGGTTAAAGAATAGGTTCCATCTAACTTGTCTAGCTGTAAGGGTTTTGTTAGTATAGAGATATTCAAGATTTTTATGGTCAGTATAAACTATTATAGGTTGTTTTGTATCTTCCAGAAGATGACGCCAATTTTCGAAGGCAGCTTTAACACTTAATAATTCTTTTTCACCAATAGGATAATTTTTTTCAGCAGAGCTCAAGGATCTTGAAAAAAAGGCAACTGGATGAAGTGGATCTTGTGGAGTCTTTTGTTGAGAAAGAACTGCTCCGATGGCTGCATCTGATGCATCAACTTCAAGAACATATAGGAATGTTGGATTAGGTAGTTGTAGAATAGGTGCAGTTGTAAATCTTTTTTTTAATTCGTCGAAGGCTGTTTGAGCATCTTTATTCCAATTAAAAGGACGTTTACTACTGTTGAGGAGGTTAAGAGGATGTGATACATCCGAATAGTTTCTAATAAATTTTCTATAGAAGTTTGCAAATCCAAGAAAACGTTGTAATTCTTTTGTAGTAGTAGGAGCAGGCCAATCAATAATACATTTGATTTTGGAATTATCCATCTTCAAAGAATGAGGTGAAATAATGTATCCTAGAAAAGAGAATTCAGTAACCTCAAAAAGGCATTTTTCTGGTTTAGCGTATAATTTATGAGTTCTCAGTCTAGATAGAACCCATCTAACATGTTTCCTATGTTCATCCAAATTGTTAGAATATATTAAGATATCATCTAAGTAGATAATAACACATACATCCAGAAGATCTCTAAAGATATCATTGATAAAATGTTGAAACGTTGCAGGGGCATTACAGAGCCCGAAAGGCATCACTAGATATTCGTAGAGACCATATCTTGTCCGGAAGGCGGTTTTCCATTCATCATCCTGTTTTATTCTAATGAGGTTATATGCGCCTCGAAGGTCGAGTTTAGTGAATATAGTTGCAGTTCTTAACCTTTCAATTAATTCATTTATTAGTGGAAGAGGATAACGATTTTTAATAGTTATTTTATTTAAGGCTCTGTAATCTATAATAGGACGGATGGTTTGGTCTTTATTCTTCACAAAGAAAATACTAGAAGCAGCAGGAGAGGTCGAGGGTCTGATGAACCCTTTGCGTAAATTTTCATTAAGATATTCTTTTAAAATTTCTAACTCCTTTTCAGAGAGTGGATAAATATGACCATAAGGAATAGGAGCTCCGGGTATGAGATCTATTGGGCAATCATATAGCCGATGAGGAGGAAGTGTTTCCGCTTCTTTTTTACAAAAGACATCTGCAAAATCGGAGTAGAATGGAGGTATAACTGGTTCTACAGTAGTTTGGAGAATAGGAATGTGTTGTAAGCATGTTTTTTTTTTACAGAAATCAGAAGCAAAGGAGATGGAGAAGGGAGACCACTTAATTAAAGGATCATGGTTTTTTAACCAATTAATTCCTAGAATGACGGGATAAAGTGGAGATTTAATAATATCAAATGTAATGAATTCGAAATGTACGTTGTTGGTAATCATTCTTAGAGGGATTGTTTCATCTTTGATGGGTCCTGAGGATATAAATGAACCGTCAATAACTCTGATTGGAATAAAATTGGTTTTTTGAACACAAGGAATTTTATTTTTTGAAACAAAAGAAAAATCAAGAAAAGTTCCATTAGCACCAGAATCAATGATGGCCTCAGTCACGATTCTTTTTGTATCCCACTGTAATATGAGAGATATAGAAAAATAAGTAGATGCTTTTCTTTTTTGAAAAACGTTCAATATAGAGGTAGATGAATGAAGCTTACCACCTTTTGAATGTTTCAGTAGAGGACATTCGGAAATTAGATGTTCATTCGAAGCACAATACATACATAAGTTTAGTTGTCTCCTTCTTATTCTTTCTTCAGAAGTAAGAGGACTTTTTATTATACCTACTTCCATAGGTTCAGTTTGTGGAGGAATTTTTTCAGGTAGTTTTAGAGTAGTGAAAGGTTTTCTCCAGGTAGAATTAGTAAGAACCCTTTCAGCTTTTCTTTCTCTTAGACGTCTATCAATACTGATAGACAGTTGAATCAATGCATTTAAGGTAGGAGGAAGTTCTGTACGAGAGAGTTCATCTTTCACAGCTTCAGATAATCCGAGACGGAATTGATTGCGTAAAGTAATGTCATTCCATTGGGTTTCTGTAGCCCATCTTTTGAATTCTGCAATATAATCTTCAACAGGTCTATTCTTTTGGTGTAATGTTCTGATGGTTAAATCAGCAGTAGTTTGTTTAAAAGGATCTTCATATAATAAAGACATAGCTTCAAAGAACTCATCCAATGAATCCAATATGGGATCATCATTTTCCAAAAAGGAATGGGCCCATGCCATAGGTTCACCTCTTAAAAAAGAGATCACTGAACAGACTTTGGATCTTTCGGTGGGATAAGATCTAGGTTTTAAAGCAATTAGTAGTTTGCAAGAATTCAAAAACTCTCTGTACTTTGTTCTATCTCCATGAAATTTTTCTGGATTACAGACAGCAGGATCACCAGCCGATTGAAGAGCGGCATGAGGAAGATGACCTTGAATGTCTCTAACATAGGTTAATATTCTCTCATTTGTAATTTGCAGTTCCTGTAACCCTTGAGCAATCGTATCCACTCTATTGGTTAGGGCAGAAACTTGAGAGTTAATATCTGCTGGTTCCATTGAAGTGGCTGAATTATTCTGTAATACTTATTTTGTAATATTTCTTTAATTGGAACTCAACTGCAGCATTTCTTGGTTGCAACAACAATAAGGTTCACCTCCTTTTATATTGGTATGAAACTATGGTCACTGTACCTTTAAATATCCATGTAGGTAAAATTAGGCTTTGTAGCAATCCCTTATGAGTAAGAGGAATAATTAGACAAAGTGACACTTTAGTGAGTTTTAGATACTGTGTAATATAAATAATAGTAATTGACTTGTTTGGTAAAAAGTATTACTTAACTTAAAGGCAGTTCTGGCACTGGAAGGGTTAATTCACCCAATGAAGGAGAAATTAGAAGTCCGTTTCAACAAGCTGAGAACTAGGAGTGGAGAGTGGGGAAGTCCGTTTTAACAAGCCGAGGTCTGGGAGTGGAGAAGGTAGAATTCAGAGTTACAAGCCGAGGTCTAGGAGTGGAGAAGGTAGAGGTACAAGCCGAGGAAGTGGAGAAGGTAGAAATCCGTTTACTAGCCGAGGTCGAGAAGTGGAGAAGGTAGAAATCCGTTTACTAGCCGAGGTATAGAAGTGGAGCAGGTAGGATCAGAAGTAGAGCAGCTGATCTTCATGCAGCACCTGTGCGAATAATCCAGCCCTTTGAATCTGGCGCGGTCCTCCTAAGTATCGTGGAGGGACCGCGTCAGAGAAAGGGGCGGGGCTGAGCGCCGTGAACCCGGAAGTGGGTTCCGGCGATAAATTACATGCCATGCTATACCTGACAGTAAGATGACAGGAAACGTTGTTTATTAATCCAAGTGGTGAGCAGGGCCGGACTGGCCCACCGGGATACCGGGAAATTTCCCGGTGGGCC